CATACTCCATACAAACACATGCTAACATTCAAACATACAAACATGGCTCAGTGCTAAATACAACCCTGCAAGCATGGGAAATTGGTAGAGTCCCAGCTGTCAAAGCATTGTTGGAGTTGCACGACGGATGGGGTTCTACCTTTAGTCCAACCTTGCAATTGGGGGTCCCAATAAAATTCATTCTACTTTAGTACCGCCACTGCGTTGGGATGGATGCCGTGATTGCATACCAGGGAGCGAGGGGCGAGAGCGGCAGGGCACAGGGGGCCCAAGCAAACACTTGCCCAGGGTCCATTCGTTATTAAAGACGGCCCTGCCCACAGGTGTATCTCCTGTTCATGTTACCAGAGGGCATACCGAAATATGTCAAGATGATACTCTACCACACATTAATATCAGCTAACCTAGTGATATCTAGACTATGGAAGAAGGCGGTGACCCCGCCTATAGATGATCTCATAAAGCAGGTAGACCGAGATTGGGCATATGAAAGGATGACAACCACACAATTTGGTACACGAAAAGGGGTCCAGGAGGCACATGACCTATGGGTAAAACACACTAAAGAACCCTACAATACCCAAACATAACCAATCCAATATGACCTAAGTAGCCCATAAATAACATGCTAAGGGGTACCACGACGAGTACCAACAGGCAAAACGCAGCGAACAGGCGACATATATCTAACCCAAAGTACACTACCCAGGTATTACCATAACATAACCCGGATGCCTCGATACAATTCTGTAACTCTGTTATTCAACTATAAATATGCTCAGCGGCGGGCACTAACCGCAATGCTCAGCAATGGTAGCCTACAGGGTCAGAGACCTACATAAGTGCCCGTGTCCCCTGAGTACGGAAAGTGAGGAATTGCAAACATGGAGGTGACGAGGGGAAAGGGATACATAGACCCAAGGCTCCCCTTCTATACCCTGGAACCCAAACTGCCTACATTATGAACCCGCATACATTGAGGTTCCACTGGCACAATCGGGTGTAAACAATACACAATCTGGTATTATAACCACGATCGAGGCCGAACAAAAGTGTACTGGTAGATAACACACACAGTAACTGTAACTGTAAAACTCATGAATTAAAACATTGAATCTCTGGAACCAAGGAAGTCCATGTTGTATATATCCATGTTGTATATGTGCGTGTATTCAACCTGCAATCCCCCCTCCCTTCTTTGTTCTGTACCCCCATGTTTTGACTTATGACAAAATAAAAAATTGTCAATTGCAAAAAAATTAGAGAGTAAAAGTGGAAAATAATATATATAACTCCTTCACCACGATAATACAACCTTCAAATAGCAATCATGCAGAAAAAAATGTGTACTTTTACTTATTATATATACACTGCTTTTTGCACACAATGTCCAAGATTATACAGTCCAGATCTCAAACACCCTTTTTTTTTCATCACTGTAGGGGTTAAACTTGAATCTGGGGAAATAGAAAACTTAAAGGGTGTGATAACATAAGTACACCCTATGTGGCGTTCTCACCTTATTAGTTTATATACTTCTATCAATTGCAGTGTATCCCACAATATAGGTAGCAAATCTTCTGAAGTTATTAGTCCAGATCATAATCACCCTTTTTCTTTTTCAGCACTGCAGGGATTAAACTTGAATCTTATTGATTGATATACTTGTGTTAATTAAGCAATATATCCCACAGTATAGAAAACAAATCTTCTGCAGTTATTCAGTTTTTCAAACTTTATTTAATTAAAATTGATCTTAAAAATAAAATAAAATTAAAATAGTACATATAAAAAAGTATACAGCTAATCTAGCCGTCTCAAACCAGCTCACTGTTCGCGGAGTTGTTTTGATCAATTTAGCAGGTCCATCGTCCACCGATATTGCCGCTTGATTCTCCTCTCTCCTGAACGCTGGGCACGTAATATCGGCACCACGTGGCTTACACGTTTCGCCCTGGGTGGGCTTTTTCAAAGTCTGTGGATGCCGATTTCATTTAAATGCAGTGTTACAGCTATCCTTAGTTACAGATATCCTCCAGGTTTTCCTTATTCAATTTAACCCATTATTGAAACATAATGGTACAATCTTGACAACGTTATTTTGTGAATGTCCATTTTGCTTAAAAGACATATAAAGCTTATCAACATGTATAACATATATGAATATGCTGTGCAATTTTGAGCACCTGTTCTAAAGAAGGATATTATGGCACTAGAAAAAGTGCAGAGGCGGGCTACAAAATTAATAAAAGGAATGGTATGAAGAAAGGTTAACAAATTTAAACCTATTTAGTTTAGAAAAACGTCACCTGAGAGGGGATATGATAACATTATACAAATATATTCGGGGCCAAAACAAACCATTGTGTGGAAATCTATTCACAAACCGGACTTTACATAGGACACGAGGTCATGCGTTTCGACTGGAAGAAAGAAGATTTCGTCTAAGGCAAAGGAAAGGTTTTTTTACTGTAAGAACAATAAGGATGTGGAATTCTCTGCCTGAAGAAGTGGTTTTATCAGAGTCCTACAGATGTTCAAACAGCTACTAGATGCATACTTGCAAAAACAGAATATTCAAGGATATAATCTTTCAATGTAGGGTAATAACTGCTTGATCCAAGGATAAATCTGACTGCCATTCTGGGGTCAAGAAGGAATTTTTTTCCTAGCTTGTTGCAAAATTGTGCTTCAAACTGGATTTTTTGCCTTCTTTTGGATCAACAGCAAAAAACAAATGGGAGGAAGGCTGAACTTGATGGACACAAGTCTCTTTTCAGCTATGTAACTATGTAACTATAATTACATCCTAGCAACATTATTTCATTAATATCCACTTCACTTAAGGGACATATAAAGCTTATAGGCATATATAATTCTGCCACATGTGAATAGCATTACTTTATAAATATCCATTGAGACGCTCTTTAAGTTGAGAAGGATCCAAGTCAACTGTACTTCTGTGGAATTGAACAAGTGAAAAAGGATGCAAGAGGAGGAGACTATACAAGAAAACTGGCAATTCGGGAGATGCAATGGATATTTAAACTGAGCGCATTAAAGCCCAATGGTTTAAATATCGATTTAGAACTTACACATTTTCTGGAGTAGATCCACATATAATACAAAAATCGGGACCCTTTAAGATATTCAATTTTATTTTATTTTTATTTTTATACTTCAAAAACATTTTTAAAAAGAAAAGGAAAAATAATTTTGAATAGAAATGCACCTTTAAAAAAAGGTATAAGTCTGTGACCTATAAGTGATAGAATTGAATGTTTTCAAGAAAGGGCATAGAGAAAAAAAAATCACGTGATTTTAAAAAATGTGCAGTAACTATTTTTATGAAACGTTTTATAGTATCCTTTTTAGAAAATTTATTTTTACATTAAGGGAATTACCATCTTGGAAAGTACACCCTTTTAAAATTTAAAATTAGAAATCATATTTTAAATGGTATAGTTTTATAAGTACCATAGGAATGGTTTTTATTTATGTACTTATAAGCTTTATATGTAAGATAATTATCTATGAAATCCGGTATAAAAAGAATTGATAAGATAAAAAGAAGTTAAAACTTTGATTAAGTGCAAGGGAATTTAAATGAGATCGGCAGTCGGCATCCACAGACTTTGAGAAAGCCCACCCAGGGCGAAACTAGTAAGTAACCTGGTGCCAATTTTTACGTATCCAGCGTTCAGGGGAGAGGAGAAACAAGCAGCAACACAGGGCCGTCTATAATATGAATAGGACCCCGGGCAAAGCCTTTTCTTGGGCCCCCCGGGCCCTGTCAGTGCACCCTCCCTCCCCATTACGCCCAACCCGCAATCACACTGACAGACATACTGACACATACACACACAGACAGACACATTAAAACATTCGCAGATACATACTGACACACACATACACTGACACAAAAATATATACTGGCAAACATTGACACACATTCAGACATACTGATACACACACAGACACATACATACTCACAGACACATACACTGACAGATATATTGACACAGACACACACAGACACATACACTGACAGGCGTATTGACATACACAGACATACTGACATACATACACACACTGGAACACAGTGAGACATACTGACATACACACACAGACATACTGACATACAAACACACAGACATACACACAGTATGTCTGTGTGTGTTAGTATGTCTGTGTGGTGTGTTAGTATGTCTGTGTGTATGTCAGTATGTCTGTGTATGTCAGTATGTCTGTGTGTGTTAGTATGTCTGTGTGTGTATGTCAGTATGTCTGTGTGTGTTAGTATGTCTGTGTGTGTATGTCAGTATGTGTGTGTATGTCTGTGTGTGTATGTCAGTATGTCTGTCATAGACACACACAGACATACTGACATACATACACAAACAGACATACTGACACAGACATACTAACACACACACATACTAACACACAAACACATACTAACACACTAACACACACATACTAAAACACACACATACACATACTAACACACACACACAGACATACTAACACACACAGACATACTAACACACACAGGCATACTAACACACACACAGGCATACTAACACACACACACGCATACTAACACACACACACACACACACAGACATACTAACACACACAGGCATACTAACACACACAGACATACTAACACACACAGACATACTAACACATACTGACATACATTTAGCCACCCTCCAGGTTCTTACCTTTTTATGGAGGGTGGTTTCCCTGGGGTCCAGTGGCAGGCTGAGGCAGAGGGGATTTCTTCTCTGGAACTCCCCTCCTCCCTGCCTTCCTCCTCCCGCACGGCTATCTCCGGTGGGAGGAAGTGACATGCGGTACTCACTTCCTCCCAGCCGGTACAGGAAGGGGCCCGATCGCGCTGTTTAAGTGTCACAGCGCCCAACAGGGCCCCTTCTGCCACATGCGCACAGGGTGGCCCTTAGTGCATGGGCCACCCGGGGGCCTCCTTAGTTGGCGGGCCGGTGCGGCTGCACCGCCGGGTACATGGGGCTGCTGAAATCGCGGGGCCCACGGGGCACAGTAACTCGTGTAGGTGTGAGTTATAGGCCCCCAGGAGAAATAGAAGAGTTAGATAATTTACTAGTTGAGGAAATAGCTAAAATGACAATAAAGGGGGAAGTTATCATCATGGGTGACTTTAATCTTCCTGATGTGAACTGGAAAACCAAAATAGCTGCTTGTGCCAGGAGCACACATATTCTAAACTCTCTACTGGAATTGTCTCTAAAACAAGTCGTTGAGGAGCCAACTCGTAAAGAGGCCATACTAGATTTAGTGTTGACAAATAGCGATTTGGTATCAAATATTACTGTAGGTGAAAGTTTAGGATCCAGCGAGTCAGTGTGGTTTAATATAAGAACTGTGACTGAGTCACACCACACAAAAACAACAGTTTTAGACTTTAGAAAAACAGACTTTTCTAAAATAGAAACATTTAAATACATAAAGGGAATCAACACAGTAAAGGAGGAGGCTATATTTAAAAGAAGAAAAACTACCACAACAAGAGGACATTGTCTTAAATTAGAGGGGCAAAGGTTTAAAAATAATATCAGGAAGTATTACTTTACTGAGAGGGTATTGGATACATGGAATAGCCTTCCAGCTGAAGTGGTAGAGGTTAACACAGTGAAGGAGTTTAAGCATGCGTGGGATAGACATAAGCCAGTTAGTCTACTGGGATCACTGCACTCTTACTGCACAGCTCCTATCTGTGCCTTTTTAATAATGACACGGCTGGAGTGACATCATATCCTGGCTGCCAGCACCTCTACAGTGTGCAGTGACAGAGCTGTGCAGGAGGAGCACCATTAAAAACACAGCTCTCTCACACCTCTCCCCCAGACTGGTATATTTGGGCATAGTGAACCGCCCTTCAAAGCCACTTTAGGCTCACGCTGACTTTGATTTGAGAAGGTAATTACAGTTTAATAAAACTTTTATAGATTTTCTTCTCCTTCTATCCATATGATGAACATCTATATACGAAAATATACTGATATGGTTTGAGTCCATCTGCCCCCCAAAATTTTCTTCTAGATTAGCCATAAAGAGATTGGTGTATTGTGACTCCATTGCTCATTGAAGTGCCATTCATTTAAATTTACTTATCAAATTATAAAAAAAAAAAAAAATCATCATTTTTCTTTCAAATTTGAATAAGGCCTAAGGCCCTGATAATCTAAATATTAAAACATCAATATAAATCCTATATTTTAAAAAAACAAAACAATATATCAAAATATTTTCCGAATATTAAATAATTTTAAGTTTAATAATGTAATAATAAGTTTATCCAAAAATATCAAATAATTTGAAAACTGTATCCAAAAATATTAAATCAAGTCCTAAATGTTCATGCAGTTAGAATGCCTACCTTATAAAATACAAATGTTTTTCATATTGCAAAGTTTAATATATTTTAATGCATCATTCTATCTCTTCGCGTTGGATTTTGTACACATTTAAAAATAAAATAATGAGTAGCATGTCAATAGTTAAACTAAACTGGGACTTCCTTCCAAGGAAGTGCCTTTGAAACATCCACATTCAATTTTTCAGTGTCAGGACAAGTCCCTTTTCAAGGAGAGTCTATTTCCTTTCATACAAAATAGAAGAAAATTTGGTATACATGACATTATCTTTGAATTGCCAAGAATGGAGTGGTGGATAGTTTGTGTGATGAATTCTGTATTTCTCTCACTTGGCTCATGCTTTCCAAGCTGTGAACACTACTTAAACCGTAAGTTATGTTTCCTTAAAATATCATTTATTGTAAATCTTATTAGGGTTATTTTGTAAGCACTGATTGATTTTGAGCATATTCAGAGGGAGAAATCAGGGCAATACATACCAGTTTTGATACAAACAAGGAAATTAACAAAATGTATTATCCTCTGAATTGCATAATTCCACCTTCCATGTTATGCATTAAAGTGGTATTTGAGGGGAATTCTCAGTGAATTTCAAATGTTAGGCAACTATAGGCAAAATCAGCAATGCTATCAGTTCAGCTATTTTGGCATAAAAGATTAAATCCACTTGGAATTCTTGCAAATTCACATTTTAGTGAATGATTGTTCAGTACGTATTTCCAAATTACAGCCCTGCAAAAATGGACCAAATTGGTTAAGTATACCTGAGGCATAACCTTAAGATGGGCCAACAAACTCATAACTATATAACTGTAGAATAAACTGCGGCACAATTGGTAGATTAGTGTTGAATTAAGTGCAGAATTCTAGTCCGGCAACAGGTTAAAGCTAAATAAAATGTATTAAATAAATAACTGAATTAAATTAAAGGTTCACTCACTCTCACAATGAACAGAGTACCCGCCCTGCAGAGTGCCCCTCCTCCCACTGGTGCTAGGGTTTATAGACCCATGATGTTAAATACCCATTCAAGCACCCCTCAATCCCATAATGAGAGATAGTGCTTTTATAGTGTGATTCACAATAGGATTACATAAAATTATTTGAAATCCTTAGCTCAGATGGAATTATATATATATATATATATATATATATATATATATATATACACGACAAGTTTATGTGATTTTATGCAAGTCCAAAGAAGTGACAGAAGTAAACTTTATATATTTAAATTTAAAAAAAATGTATGCTTCATTAATCACTCCCATTCAATGTGTTCCATTTTATAACAATTTATCTTTTTGAGCTTTTGTACTTTTCCATAGTGCGGACAGTTTTTGTATATGCAGTAATATATCCGAACACTACAGTGTTAAGTACTGGTAGGTGTTTGAATAAACAAATACCCAACACAAGTTAAAAAAATAAATATAGGCTAGAAATCAATCAGAGTGCTCTGAGCCTAATTGCAGGGCGGGGCAAGGTTTTATAAGCCTTCCCCCACCCTGCAGAGCTCAGTCTGCGCGGAGCCCTCCATGGGTGAAGATGGATTTTTATTTTTTTTGCACTCAGTTTTTTTTTTTGTTTTTTTTTTAAAGTGTGTCGGTTATTATGGATTTTTATTTGGCCTTTTTTGGGGCTGAAAAAATAATATTTTAGAAGAAAGGAGACATCAAATGGTAAGTTTTTTTTTTCCAGCTAATGGTCCCGCCTCATTATTTTTAGGGTGAGGGGGGTAGGTAGGGGTTATTTTTTTTCTTTTTTGGGAGGGGGGTGACTAGGGGTTACATTTTTATTTAGGGCCCCCCATCCACTGCTCAGAGGTGGACAATAGGCCTCCCCCTTATTGATATTTAGGGCCCCCCACCCGCCGCTCAGGGGTGGGCGCTGGGGGGAGGCAATAGGTCCCCCCCTATTGGTATTTAGGGCCCCCACCCATTGCTCAGGGGTGGGGGCCGGGGGGGAGGACAATAGGTCCCCCACCTTATTCTTCTTTAGTGTCCCCACCCGCGGCTCAGGGGTGGGGGCAGAGGGGGAGGTCAATAGGTCCCCCCCTCTTATTTTTCTTTAGGGCCCCCACCCGCCGCTCAGGGGTGGGGGCAGGGGGGAGGACAACAGGTCCCCCCCTTATTCTTCTTTAGGGCCCCCACCTGCCATTAAGGGCTGTTTACTAGACATGCCCCTACTCGCGGTATAGCGAATAGGGGCATCATTTACTAATACTAAGTAATCTTTATGTAGTATTAGTAAATTTGTCTGAAAGACCAATTTAGGTGTTTCAGCCTTTTAGTAGATAGCTCCCTAATACCGTGGAAATTAAGGAGTTATCTACTTATTCATTCCTGTCATTCCATTGACTGGCTAAGTAACTTACATTTTATATGAATGTGTGTTACTTGATTGTTGTAAGTGTTGCAAATGCTTACAGCTGAATCCTGGCAATGTTTGTATACTTTTTATTTAAAATTGTATACGGTGTAACATTCTTCATTCTTCCACTGGGTAAGTATATTAGTACTTAGGCAATACTGTGCTTCGGAACTTCGGCAACTTCGGAAATTCTGCAATTTCGGAACTTCGGTACTTTGGCAATTCAGCACTTTGGCAATTCGGAAATTCAGCTATTCGGACATTCGTCAGAATTGACATTCGAACAAAACTAATTGCACATGTCTACTATTCATGAGATTTCCCACAGTAGGGCCACTGTCTCTTCTTGGACAGTAGTTTTTTTTTTTTTGCTAAAGGTTTGATAGGGATTCATATTGGATTGTGTTGTCTGGCCCCACGTACCCATTGCTTCTCAGAGAATAATATGTCTAATCTCACATTAATTAAATTGTATGTCCTATTGCAACATACAGAACAAGGATTAAATATGCAGAGTGATATGCAAGTAATATGCAAAAGTAATTTTCTGTTTTCAAGTTCCCAAGGTATCTCCACTTGAAATAATGTTACATATATTTCAGCCACAGTAGTGAAA